GCATTCTGGAACCACGACTGTGATATGGGTCTGCACCTAAAGCAGGCTTTTTATCTCCCATCAGAATGGCTAAGATCAAAAACTCAAGGGACCACATATGCTGGACAGGTTGCAGAGAAAGAGGAACTCTCCTCCATTGCTGGTGGGAATGTAAACTTGTACAACCACTTTGGAAATCAATTTGGTGCTTTCTCAGAAAACTAGGAATATTGTCACCACTATATTGCTACCACAAGACCCAGCTATACCACTCCTGGGCATATATATGAAAGATGCTCCACCATACAACAAAGACATTTGCTCAACTGTTCTTAGCAGCTTTATTCACAATAGCCAGAATATGGAAACAACCTAGATGTCCCTCAACCAAAGAATGGATACAGAAATTTTGGTACATTTACACAATGGAATATTACTCAGTAATTAAAAACAAGGAAAACATGAAATTTACAAGCAAATGGCCGGAATTAGAAAAGATCATCCTGAGTGAGGTAGCCCAAAGCAGAAAGTCACATACGGTATATACTCACTTATAAGTGGATATTAGACATATAATATAGAATAAACGTACTAAAATCTATAATCCTAAAGAAGCTAAACAACAAGGAGGACCCTAGGGAAGACACTTAATCCTCATTCAGAGGGGCACATGGGATAGACATTGGAAGTAGTAGAAGACAAGGAACAGGACAGGAGCCTACCACAGAGGGCCTCTGAAAGACTCTACCCATCATGGTATAAAAACATGCTGAGACTCATAGCCAAACTTTGGGCAGAGTGCACGTAGTCTTACAGAAGAAGGGGGAGACAGAAAGACCTGGAGAGGACAGGAGCTCCAGTAGGACACCAACACAGCCAAAAAATCTGGGCCCATGGGGCCCTGAAGAGACTGGTGAATCAACCATGGGCCATGCATGGAGAAGACCTAGACCCCCTGCTCAGATGTGGTCCATGGGCAGCTCAGTCTCCATGTGGATACCTTAGTAACAGAAGCAGAGGCAGTCTCTGACATGAATTCAGTTGCCTGCTCTTTGATCACTTTCCCCTGGTGGTGCAGCCTTGCCAGTCCACAGAAGAAGAGGATCTAGGCATTCCTGATGAGACTTGATAGGCTAGGGTCACATGACAAGTGAGGAGAATTCCCCCTTTCAGTGGACTATGTGAAGCAGATAGGGGGAGAAGAGGGAGAGATGGGGAGAAGATGAAGGAGGGAGGTCATGCTTGGGGCAACCACTGCTGCCTATGCTGAGCAGGGAGACCCCTGCTCGGGATAAAGGGAAGTGCAGGGGGGTTGAATATTCACCACTCTTGGTCCCCGGAGATGTTCATGGGTGACCTGAATCCAAGCTGTCCCAGCACATGGGTTGTCCCCTCTCTCCCAGGAAACCTCAATGTCAATGTTCTGGTTTTAGCTGCTCCTCCACTCATCAATTTTGGAGTTTCAGATCCTGTGCCCCTCATGTGGTATGCGCTGTTTGCTGTCATCCTGGACTCCCCAAATTTTTTTAAATTAATAATTGATGTGAGAGTACCCAGCCCTCTGTCAGTGGAGCCATCCATGCTTAGGTGGTCCTGGATGGTATAAGAAAGCAAGAAAAACAAGCCATGAGAAGGAGCCAGTTGTTAATCAGTTTTCCTTCCTGGTTTCTGCATCACTTCCTGCCTCCAGCTTTCTGCTTGAGTTCTTGCTTGACTTCCATCAATAAGTGACTGTGAGTGTGTTATGTAAGCCAAATAACTCTCTTTACTTCTCATGTTGCCTTGGTCATGGTGTTTATCATACAAACAGGGAACAAACCACCAAGATAGTATGTTAAGAGCAGTCTTTTGTTTTCAGTTCCTCTCATTGCTCCACAGATATATAATTCAATACTATTTTCATGACAGGGAAGTAGTTTAAGTAGTGTATTTGCTAGAAATATGAAAAGTGTTATTCAGCCCAGCTACACTCCATTTTGCTTTTCTAGTTTATTATTTTTCCTTTCAAATCTTGCAGCGGCACATGAGGCAATGCTTTTTCGTTTGTTAGTACTCCATTATGAATAGGTCAGTGTGTGATTAAAGTTTATATAAGCGTAATGACATACCCAAAACAGTTGCTCACCTCATGGCAACTAGGAAACAAAATAGAGGTGTAACAAGAAAGTCCACAGCAAGAGAGAGTGCCCAAGAACATATCTCAGTGACATTTTTTTCCAGGCTTCATTTTCCACAATTCTATCAACTCCGTATTACATATTTAATCTTTGAGTACATCATTGAGTGAATCCAATTAAGACCAGAGAGTCTTTGTGATACAACTACTATCAAAAGCTCCTCATAGCTTAGTAACTAAAAGTACATACAGTGAAAACCTGATAATTTTATCCTAGTTTTTTTTTTCTTTCTTTCTTTTTTTTTTTTTTTTTTTTTTTTTATGGCATGAAGTTTCAAACCCAGGGTGTTACAGATGCTATGTGTGCAGACTACAACTGAGCTATAGCCGTAACCCTAAATGTTTATCTAGTCATTACATCTGGATGAAGATGTTTTTCTTTTCTTTCTGTGGGGGAATCAGTAGTGTGGTGAAGTTAGTCATTTAAGGATAGGCACATTATTTCAGCCTTGATTAGACTTTTTCATTTTATATCAATATTTAAATTTTCTAATAGCCTCACCTTCTTTAAAGTACCTCACCCACTCTTTCCTTACATTCTCTATTGCCTCTATGTTTGGAATGTTTGACTTCATTCCCTTTCTCCTTTATTCCCAACCCTGAAAACCCCATTCATGCATATGAACTAAAGTAGTTGTTGTTATTGTCAACATATCTTTATGTCATGCTAGTTCTGTAGATAGTGGAGTCCCATTAAACCATATCAGAGAAAATTTGGTTTTCTAAACAACCATAAAGGAAAGCAGAATTTGAAGCTAACAGGCTAATAATTACTTGCATAGATAAGACAAAAACTATGAAATACAAGTTACATAGTACTTATTACAAATTAGTATTATAATATGAATGACAATGAACATAAGCAATTTAATTTGTAGAGAGAATACCTGCTTAGAGGTATTCTTTCCCAACCAACAAATAACTGAAAGAAATTTGAAGCTATATAAATAAAAAAAAAAAAAAAGCAAGAATGGTTCTTAAACTAACAGGATTTGAAATATCAAGTGCAAGGCTGATATTCTTAAATAATGTATTTTATGCTTAAAATTGTCTTGACATTCCAGTAATGTTAATACTGAGCAGACTGTTCAATTTAATTATACAGCGTATTCAGATAAAATGCATGTTTAAAATAAGTTTGGTGCTAATTTATGTGAACTTGAGTTGGCTGTTTGGAATCCAACATGTTTTTACATTGTACAGAATTCCATGGAACTTTGCGGTTAAAAAAATAAAGAAATAACCTAGAACCCCTGCACAGATGTAGCCGATGGCAGTTTAGTGTACAAGAGGGTTACATAGTAATGGGAAGATAGACTGCCTCTGACATAATCTGATTGGCCTGCTCTTTGATCACGTCCCCCTGAGGGGGGAGCAGCCTCACCAGGCCACAGAAGATAACAATGCAGCCACTCCTGATGTGATCTGATAGGCTAAGATCAGAAGGAAGGAGAGGAGGACCTTCCTCATCAGTGGACTTGGGGAGGAGCATGCATGAAGGAGGAGAAAGGAGGGTGGCACCAGGAGGGGAGGAGGAAGGGGCTTAAGTGGGGATACAAAGTGAATAAAGTGTAATTAATAAAATAAAATTAAATTAAAAAAATAAAAACTTTATCCCTACATCACATTTAAATAATGCATTTTTTAAATTAAATTTTTATTTTTTATATTAATTACATTTTATTTACTTTGTATCCCAGCTGTAGCACCATCCCTGATTTCCTCCCAATCCCACCCTCTCTCCCTCATCTCCTTCCTGCCCCTCTCTATACAATTCTTAAAATCACAGTTTCGTGGTAAATGTCTATAATCACAACAATGGAGAGAGTGAGGCAGAGGAATCCAGTGTTGGAATCCAGCCTGGGCTACATAGTGAGGGTACGTGTAAAAACAAACAATCCTTAATCCCAGTACTGGAGAGAGAGAGGGAGGTGGATCTGTGCGACTTGAAGGCCAGCTTGGTCCACATAGGCAGTTCCAAAGAATCCTGTGTTATGTGAGATGTTGTCTAAAAATAACCAAACATATAAACTAAAATATAAACAAAAATATAAGCTAAAGAGTTCTGTCTGCTTTACTATTGAGCAGTTTCATCAAAGCAGTCCTATACTTTCCAGTAATAAGACATTTTTAAAAAAAAAACCTCCCTTCTCTTGATATGCCCTTGGAAGTTTGAGAAAAATGTGGCTTGAAACAGGGAATCTGCATATCTTTTGCTGATATAGTGCTTAAAACATTTTTTACAAAACGCCTTTAAAACTTGTCCTGATACTTGTTCAAATGGGTTATGAATCTCTTCCAATTTAGAATACAGAAAAAAGTTGGAGATTTACAGTGCATAATCTGAGAGGGTCAAGGTGTAGAATCCTACCAAGAGGAGACATCAGAACAGAGGAGTTTATTGCTAAACGAATTTAATAGCGTTCTTACTGAAGAAAGGTCTGGGTTATTAGATAATCAAGAGAGGAGCGGGGGTGGAGTTTTTATTAAAGTCAACATGATTCTTGCAACAACTGGAGGCCAAAGATAGGCTTCAGAGGGGCATCCTGACTAAATATTGGTTAAGGACAGTTTGTCGGCACCAAACTGGCTATCCTGTTGTAAAAACCTGCGCTATTTCTCCATCCATTCCATCAGTTTAAAAAAATAATAATATGCCGGAAACTGTAAAAGGGGCTGCGGGGGATGGCCAGGCCACAGTGGAGAAGAGCACAGGACTACATCTCCCATAAGCCCTCACAGGGCAAGGCCCCAACTATTCCGCCCCTAATACCGATCCTTGCCGCATAGCGTAAAGCGCTGAAAGCCCTATGCTGGGAAAAGTGGGCGGTGACAAGCTTGTGTTGGAGGAGGAGGCTGAGGAAAAGGAGAGACCATAGACTTCCACTTCGGCCTAGAGCGCCCTTTAAATTGTTGGGGAGAGGAGGGCGGGAGGGGCCCACCCCGAACTGGCCGCCGGCGGTATCATGGCGTCCCGGAACCCCCCTCCCCAAGGTGAGCAGCCAGGGCCCGAAGTAGTCTCTGGGTCGCGGCCCACAGCTCTCGACCTTGTTACTACGGTGCTGCTCCCTTCCCTTCCATTTTTTTTTTTTTTTTCTGGGGCAGGGTCGCTACACAGCCCCTTTGAGAAACCCCCTCCGAACCAGATGTCTCCCTTCCCTCTTTGTGGAATTTAGCGTGATCCCCCACACCTACCAGGGCCAGACCCTGCCCTGCCCCCACCTCGAGCCCTTCTCCATCTTTCAGCTGTAGGGAGTTTGGTGGGTTGATCGGTGGGTTGCATTTTATTCCTGCTCTGATTTCCTCTTGCTGGGTCCCTGACTTGTCCTTTCATGGGAGGAACAGCCCCTCTCCCCTTTTCCCACGGATGGAAATGCGTTCTGCTCTGACCTTATTCTGATTGGGCGGGCGACCGCCCACTGCTTTGTAATTCAACTGGCCCCTAGCTGCGTGTCCCTCTGCCTTTGGAAAGGAAATGGGGATGCTTTTGCTAGGCCCTTTTCTCTTGAGGCCCTAGTATCAGGGATTGAGTTAATCACGCTGAGTCGTTTCCATCTGGACGTTTTTAGTTGTAGGCCAGACATAACAGCAAGTTGTTATAGGTTTTACGAAAACAATTTGTGAGCTTTTTCTGGCTGTAGATTGATTCAATTTATTTTTTTCCATTTTGTATTTTAAAGACTATGAAAGCGATGACGAATCTTATGAAGTGCTGGATTTAACTGAGTATGCAAGAAGACACCACTGGTGGAATCGAGTATTTGGCTACAGTTCCGGACCTATGGTAGAAAAATACTCAGTAGCTACCCAGATTGTAATGGGTGGTGTGACTGGCTGGTGAGAACATCTTTTTCATTAAATTTCATTGGGAACCTGGCTATTGTCCTTTTGTAAACGAGCCAGTCTCTATACACCTTCAATGGCTGTCCACTTTTAATTCCAGCAGAGCACAACTTTGGGGTTTTTCCCTGACGTAATTGTTTATATCAACCTTCAGACACTCCTTGTTGGATTTTGATAATTTCCCTCTGTCGCAGGTCCACCATTCCCCACCCCCCATCCTTCCCTTTCCTTTGATTCATTATCAAATTTCCAAATGTAGCAATATAATTATAAGTAAACCATTACTTGCCATTTAGTTCTACCAACTGTGAAAACCCCCACTGCAAAATTGGCCTCTATGATTCTATGCTTTATACATAGAAGCATTAATGCTCAGGAAAAGTTATTCATGGTAATGCAGCAGGTTCAATTTTTTTGTGTGCTAGTTCAAATTATGATAGTGCTTTGAAGATATGAGAACATTGCTTCTATATTAGAATTAATGGACTGATGACTTTTTCTGCAATAATATGAAGTACAATAAGGAATAGTTAATGACCCTTAACTAGGCAACAGCTCAGACCATGTGATTGCACACTGTTGTTACCATGTATTCTAATTCTGTTATTTTTTTGGATAAAATATTAACCAGCTAACAAGTGGCAGAACCAGTTCAACTTCTTGAAAAAGGTTGATGACTTTATTTTTGAAGTGCTTAAGTTGTAAGTGCTTTTTTTTTTTCTTTATATTCTAAGGTAAACTCATCTTGTGTTAGAGTATTCACATATTTCCACTGGCATGAGTAAATGATATTTCTTCATGTGTGTTATACATGCACCTTGGAATAATGATGCTCCCTTATGCCTTCTTGTAAATGTTCTTTTATAATTTAAAGCAGACAAAAAGCAGCCATTGTGAAGAATTGCATGACACACAGTCACAGTTTTAATACTGCTTTGTTGAAAAAACGTGCAGTTAGGAGAGAAATTTCAGATGATTCACTGTAGGGTGATTATACCTCTGTCCCTCTTAAGTCAGTTCATAATTATGGTTAGTGAGTGTCATGGCCGAAAGCCCAATGCCAAAAGATATTTTAAATAATTGAGAAATAGAATTCTCAGATGAATAAACATTTTTTTTCTTAATAGACCAAAGCTGGTAAGAAGGCCCATAATTGCAAGGTTTTCTTGAAAAACCTAAAGGCAGAGCAGAAGTTGGTAGCTTTATCGTAGTGACTGATGCCTGCTAGCAGTTGTACACAGCTTGTGGAGCATCCAACCTGGGGTATTGTGGAGACTTGACTACTTGCCTTTATTAATTACTAACTGCTGTATGAGAAACATTCTTGGTAATAAGAATACATACATTTGGATTATCAGTTTTAGCTAAGTATTCAACCCAGGAGCTATGTAATAGTTTGTGGGTGGGTATTTGTTTTTTACATTGATCTGTTTGTGTAGGAAGCACAGATGTGTTCCAGTATATACATGGAGGTCAGAGGACAGCTTGTAGGAGTAAGAACCCTACCATGTGGGGTTTGGGGATCAAACTCAGGTCTTCAGGTTTGATGGCAAATGCCTTTACCTGCTCAGCCATCTCTGACCAGAACTGTATAACTGTATAATAGGACACTTATATTTAAGTGGCTTAATTTTTTTTCTCTTTTTTTTTTTTTTTAGTTTTTGTTTTTATCTCTGGAGTCAAATTCAGTGCCTTGAATTTGGCAGGAAAGCAATGTACCTCTGAGTGATATTGCCAGCTACATAGGTGATTTTTTTGTAATAATTTGGACTGTAGTATAGGTTCAGTGTAGTAAATTTCTGAAATCTTCTTAAGATATAACATTGATGTGATATTGTGGCATAAAAGAAGAACAGTTTATAGGCCTGAACCCAACTTAACAATTCAGACCAATTCAAGACATGAAGGATAGCCTAAGGAGATTATATTTAGCTGTAGGTAGCTGTAGGTTTTTGATCATAAGAAATGAAAACTAGTGTGAGAATAGGTGGTTGCTAGAGACCTAGAGGTCGTGAAGACTATTTCTGATTTGAGAGCATGATCTAGAAACAAGGTTATAAAATCCCAATATTACAGTATGAAGTTAATGATGTCCTTAAGAGTAGAAAGGGCTGGCAAGATGTCTCAGCAGGTAGGCTTGATGCTAAGCTTGGTGACCTGAGTTCTATCCTGAGTTGGAGAAAATCAACTCATACACCTTGTGCTTGGATGTGTATGAATGCTCTTTCTCACATACACACACCAAAAAAATTTAACAAAAGAATAGAAAGCAAAAAACATAATGGTTTAGACATGGAGTATAGAGACCTTTCAGCCAAAGATGAAGAAGGAAGTCTGAGATGAATGTGAAGTGGCAAATGGAGAATAGTACCATTACCTCAGCAACAATTTCTTTGGCTGTGTTTATGTCCCTGTGACATGACTCATAATGAATTAAAGGCCTACTGTGTTCTAGTATGACCTCATCTTACCTAATTACATTAACAATGACCTTATTTTTAAGTAAAGTCTCATGAAGGATACTAATTTGGTGGAGATACTAATTCAGTGCACAAGGCTAGGGTTAGAAATCAGATTCTTTTGTGCAGTTTGGATCTGGACTAGCGAAGGAACTGTGAGTCAGCCCAAGAGGTATAGGCAGACACTCAAAGTTAGATTAGACAAAACAAGCTTAATACAGCTAGGTGAAATGTGGGCAGTGTAATCATAAAAGTGGACTGACTGACACACTAAATAAATGGTTCAAGGATTAAAGGGACACCAGGAAGTGTAATGGTGTTAAATGGTGTGTTTAAGATGATAACCAGATTAAAGCTGTTAAATGGAATTAATAATAAGTGGTGAGTTTAGGGCAAGATCCCACCCATATAAGCTTCCTAAAAGAATTAAAGAACAGTATAGCTTCAGTCCTGGTACATGCCTTTAATCACTTTAGGAGTAGCCTTTATTTACAGCACACAGGAGACAGAGGTATTCGGAACTCTGAGTTCAAGGTCAGCCTGGACTCCAGAGCAAGCTCCAGGATAGATAAAGGAAAGGAAAGCTTTTCATAGGCAGAGCTGGGCAGGAATCTGAGCTATTAAAAGCTCAAATAAAGATGAGGGTGCATTTGAAATTAACTGGGTTGGATCTGGTTTGGGTAGAGTTACTGTTGGCCAGATGTATGGAACACCTAGACTACATTAAGCAAAACAAACAAATGACATACTGTGGGAAATTTCAGTTTACACAAATGTAGGTGTATAATGAACCCAAGTATGCATGATTGGTTTCAGTAGCTGCTCTTTTTTTTTTTTTCCTTTTATGTCTTCCCATTCTATCCTTCACTTTGCTGCAAATCTCAGACAATGTAGAATGTGCATTTTTAACTACCCTGTATGATTGAAGGAAAACACTTAATGTTTCTGACTAGGTAAAGGAAACTATCAAAAGAAATGGGAAGACATTAAGCTTTATTAGGAAAGCAATAAAATGTAGATGAAATTTAGTGCATCACTTATTGTTCTCATCTTTTGTTATTTCTGTCATTAAAGGTGTGCAGGATTTTTATTCCAGAAGGTTGGAAAACTTGCAGCAACTGCAGTAGGTGGTGGTTTTCTTCTCCTACAGGTATGTTAGACTCTTACGTACTTCTGCTTATATAGGTAGCCCATAAGAACAGAGAATGTTAAATTTACCCATTTCATTTCTGTTTATTTCAATAGAAGGTAGAGTTTTTCCTTTAGGCATTAGTTTGTGGAAAAACCGTAATGAGTTTTGAAAGCTTGCATCTGTCATAAAAGAAAACAAGTAAAATATTTCTTGATTCTCTAATGTATGTGTAGTGTGATGTGATATCAACTATTAAAAAAGGTGTGGTTGCATATATCCATCATCCCAGCTACTCGAGAGGCTGAGGCAGGAAGACCACAAGTCCAAAGCAGGACATAGTATTCAAAGGAAACCAAATAGAGCTGGGGCAATAGCTTATGGATTCTATGGTTATGGTTATGGATTTGTATAACCAAGTCTGGTTCATAGATCACACTGTGCATACATTATAGTTTTTCCATAAACTAATGCCTAGTTATATCAAGAGCTGAATACCTATTAACATTGTGTGACTTTTTGTTTAAATTGAAGAAACAGAGCCAGGTATGGTGGCATAGGCCTGAAATCCCAGTATTCAAAAGGCTACAAGGTTAACACAGAAGAAACTATCTACTTATGTACTGAGACTTTAGAGGGAAAGACAGAAAGGAAGAGGCAGAAAGTGGAAAATTAAAGTTTAAAAATTTCCATAATCTCATCCACAATCATATTTCTGAGACAGGTGGATTAAAATTTTAATTTTGTTCATCCCCTTTCAGGCATCAAAATGCTTTGCTATTAAAGAATGAGGATATTATATTCATGTCTGTTTGGTATGTATTTTCCTCAAAATAGCATTTTCTGAGGAATATCAAATATAGTAAATCTCAAAATTGAAAGTCTCTGGGAATGAATGTTACCAACTGTTTTAAAGATACAGATTATTGTTGGCCATACCAGATTTAAGAAATGATTGCTGTTCAGAGCAACCAAAATGTGACTTTAGTACCTAAGCCAATGATCCTGTGACCACCAACATAGTCATCATAAGTACAAAGAGATAGTATTTATCTGAATTAAGCACTGAATTAAGCACTGACGTAAGTCATTTCCTTGCCAGCTGTTTTAAGGCTATATTTTCTATTAATAATAGTATTATGAGTAATATTTCCTGTGGAAGAGGTAAAATATTGCAATTAATTTCTAAATTTGGTCTTTTGGATGTATGTTAGTATTTCTACAGGAGAGAATTTTATCTAAATTAATTAGTATAGAATCAAGGGCATATTCAGTCTACCAGTATTTTGAAAACTGAGTTTCATTTCTTTTCAGTGTAAGGGGTACTAGATTAAAGCAGAATTGAATTGTGTGCCTATTTTAATATAATTTTGCATATTAGCCTCTCAGAAGTCTATTTCCGTCTATTCAGTATTCACTCTTCAAACCCAAATTTTATCATTGTTCCTTCCTACTTTTCCAAGCTTGGTATTTTGAAGTCTCTAAGGCAGAAGGGCATAGGTCCTGTCTGTATCAAACCACTTTCACCCACATATATAATTATTCTTGAAAACACAGGAGAAACCTTAAAGAAAAACCAGAGAAAGAAATGACTTTTAAGCTAATTCCATCTTTTATAACATTTGCTTATAATTAGAGATAAGTATTAGTTTGGGTTGGGATATAAAGCTTTGCTAGTAACAATATTAAATGTTTTTCAGTAGATAGTTATCATATTGCTCTCTTAAAATAGACCTTGAAGCTGGTCTGAGAACAGTAGTATTTATTACTAACAAAGCATAGCCTATTACAGATTTCTCCACTACCCTTGCTTAACTTTAAGAAAGTAGACAATTATATATGAGTATTTCATCCTTTTAAAAAAAGTTATATATGCCTGTAAATAAGGGACATATATTTGTTTTAATTTTATTTTATTTTATAAAAAAATTATTCACTTTACATCCCAATTATAGTCCCCTCTCAGTCCCACCCTTCCTCCATCTTCCCTCTGTCCCTGTCACCTAGTCCTCAGAAAGGAGGAGCCCTCCTCCCCAGTCATCTAACCACAGGCTATCAAGTCTCATTAGGACTGCTTGCATTCTCTTCCTCTGTGGCCTGGCACACCACCACCACCACCAGGGGGAAGTGATCAAAGAGGGGGAATCAGAGTCTATGTCAGAGACAGCCCCTGTTCTCCTTACTAGGGATCCACATGGTGACTCAGCTGCCTATCTGAGCAGGGGATCTAGGTCCTCTCCATGCATGGTCCTTGGTTGGTGCATCAGTCTCTGCAGGTCCTTCTGGGCCCAGATTTATTGGCTCTGTTGGTCTTTGTGGAGCTCCGGGACAGATACTTGTATAGGGCTGTTGACAGATTAATCTTTTGCCTCCTTTGACCCTATTTTTCCCCTCCCTTGAAGGAACTGCTTTAACTTCTCACAGAACCTTTTTCCCGAGTTGATTGATGAGGTTTTGATATTTCTGCTGCAGGAGTTCACTATTGGCATCACATTATAGAATAGTCACAGTTAATTTTTGAGTTGTCCTGTTCTATTTCCACCTATCCCTACATTACATACCTGAATGCTTCTGTCCCTTTCCCATACCCTCCAGCCCCATCTTGAATTTATTTCATAGTTGTATAAGCTTACCTATGGTTAAGTGAATTTCTTGAATGTATTTGTTTCCCTTCTCATATCCTTCCAGATTATCTCTACCTCCACACCCATCCAACTCTATACCTTCTTTCTCTCTTTTGAAAACCAATAGAGAAATAAAAAGCATACAATCAATAATAATAATAATAATAATAATAATAATAATAATAATAATAATAATAATAATAAAAGACACTTTATTTTTAAAGCAGAAAAAGTACCAGAAACACTGGGAAGGTTTGGGTCCTTATTTCCTATAAAAAGTTTGGGATATTTTTTCTTTTGATGTACTCCTTTGTCTGAATCTTTTCTTGTGGGAGTATGCATTAGCTAGGCTGTTCAGTGCTCAGGGGAGAGCTGTCCCAGGCTCTTCTGTCCTGTTTGTTTTCTAGGCCTTAAATACATCAATTATCAGGGGATTTCCCTTTCAGTACTATTCCGATGTTCCCTTTGCTTTGTCTTGGGTTGTTTCCTGTATCTTACATTGTCTTGGTTTCTTATTTTCCAGAGACATATCTTACCAATATTGCGTCTTCAAGTTACTTGTAGAGAAAATAAGCATGGGTGGCATAATATTTGAGATTTTGCATGTCTGAATATTTCATTTTCTTTCACATTTGAGTAATAATTTAGCTGGGTTTAGATATTGCTGCGTTGTCTTCCTAATTCAGTGTTGCCAATAAAAGTCTAAAGCAGTTCTAATGCCTGACTTCCCCCTTCACACCTTCCAGGAAATGCTTAGAAGATTTATGTGTGTGTGTGTGTGTGTGTGTGTGTGTGTGTGTGTGTGTGTGTGTGTGTGTGTTCTGGTTTATAGTCTTTGCTTTGGGCTTGTTCTAACACACTATGATCTCTTTTAGTTCATAAATACTTATGATATTAGCTACTAACAAGTTCCTGCTCTTTGTGTGTTCTCATCACTGCTCCACCACTATAATTCCTATGATATGGATCTCCTGGACTGGCTTTCTAATTGTCATAGCTTATCTTTATTATTTTGTAGGTCTGTCTTTTTGGTTTACTTTCTAGTAGAGATCTTCACCTTAATTTCATAGCTGAGTTTTTCATTTCTATTTAGTTATGTCTTTTATTAATTTATTGATAATGAGAATTCAACTTAGTCCTTATGCATACTAGACAAGCATTCTATCACAGAGCTGCATGTAGCTAAAGCTATTTTACTTAAATTTTTTATTCCTATGAATTATTTATGATTATTTAAAGAGGTTCAGGTGGTAGACTGTATTTATATGATATTGACCCTCCTGAATCCCATATCTGTTGTGGAGTAGAAAATTAGCATCTATGGAAGCCATTTTAACCGCTTGTATATAACCCATGAAGATAGGAAGAAGTTGTGTGTTCTGATACTTTGTCTAATTTGAATTGAAGACAAAAGGTTCTTAAAAGTGGCAGGGGATGAAATTTTTTAAATTGCCAGATGCTTGTTTGAAGTAACTGCCTTTATAGGCTACAAATGAGTGTTAGTTCAAGTGGTCTACCATGCATGAAGGAATTCAAGTGTAGGAAACATGATGAGTTGTCTCAGAAATAGAAAAAGAACTGAAGACTTGTCTCTTTTCCATTTATTAATTTATTGTTTTTATTTATTAATTATTATTTATTTATTATTTATTATTTATTAATTTATTATTTTTCCATTTATTAAATTCTACCAGTATGGGCTTAGTTTTTTTATTTCATATTTTGGGTTAAAGTTTAATACCATTTTCTTGCTCAAACTGTTCTAGATTTAGCCATGGGAAGCTTTTACAGTTGTGTAGTATTCTCTGCTTATCATGGCTCATGTTATTCTTTACTTACATATTTATTGTGTGTGACCATATGTCTGTGTGGTGTATGCATATGTGTAGGCTTACTCATTCATGTCTGTGTATATGCCGCCTGGAGGTTGTCTTTCTCTTGCCACCTTATTTCCTGAGACAGGATTTCTCACTGAACATGGAGTTTGATATTTCTGCTAGACTGGCTTGCTATTGAGCCCTAAGAACTCACCTGTCTCCACCCCTACTGCTTGCACTACAAGTGTATGTCACCACATCCTGCTTTCATGTCAGTACTAGGGATTACATTCAAGTTTTCATGCTTATATAGCAGACCCTTTGCCCACGAATCCAATTTCCCAGCCTGCCTGCCTGCCTATTTTGATTTATTTTCTTATTTTCTTCCTTCCCTCCCTTCTCCCTCCCTCCTGCTTTTTTTTTTTTTAATTATGATATTAGGGTCAAACACAGGACCTGTACATCCTTGCTTAGGCAAATGCTTTACCATTCACTGAGCTACATTTTCAGCTCTTCTTTTGTTTTAAAACCTCTTCCTACTGTTTTTACTTCCCTAATTTTTGTGTTTGGTTGGTGGTTT